AAATTTTAATTAATAATTAATAAAATCAATCATATTGCATCCGTAATAATTTTAAAAAATAAATAACAAATAACCAAATATCAAAATAACTTTTAACTATAATTACAATATAATACAGTTTATCACAGCTACAACTACAGTTAGAGCCACAACATTTTACATCAACCCTAAACATACCCTTAAACCACCATATCAAATGACCCTTTAAACTCATGCTGTAATTTTTGTTTATTTTTTTTATTTTGAATTAATAATTCACCTCATTAAAGCAAAGTTTCAAAATCAATAACAATTACCCTTTCAAACAAAAAAATAATTCCATTTATTAAACCTGCTCCCATTTTCTTTGCCGATTAATTGTTCCAATAATTGCATTCTCCCACTGGCTACCGTCGACCGCACCAAATACAAAACTCTAATCTATTGCCGCCACCGTCCATGACATAGCTTTAATTCTCTGAATCAGTTTAGTTTGGCAAATATCGTATATTCAGCTGCTATGACTTTTATATCCTATTCTAATAAGAAAATGGAATAGGAAAATTATTGATATATTTTTTGGTTTAATACATTTGTCAATGTTTATCAGTTTAATTATTAAATTTTATAGTCAAAATTTTTTTTATCTTAAATTAAAATTAAAAAAATAATCTCTTAATAAATGTATTAAATCGAAAAATGTACCGATTATTATCTATTTTAATAATAATTTATTAAACCTTTGTACTCTAATCTATAAATACAATTAATAATTTAAGTAATTTAATAGTATTTTCTTTCATTAAAAATAAGTGATTTTAAAATTAAGACGCATGATATATAGAGTGAATTAAGAAATTAAAAAAAAATCATTTTTCATAAAGCAATGTAAGATTAAAAAAAAAAAAATCAACAAATACAAAACTCTACAATAATTCCCATTTGACCAACCCACATCCCTTCTTTTTTTTCTATTCCTTAGGTGCCGCCGCTAGGGGTGAGCACATTTTGGGTATTACCAAAATATTCAAATTTTCAATCCGAATTTTTGAATCTTAGTTTAAGTAAGTCAGATATTTGGATACATTTAAATAAAATTGAAATAACCTAATATTATTTCAATTCAGATATGGTTATTAACCTATATTTTAAATTATCAAAATAAATTATTAAATTATTTGAAATTCTTTAACATTAAATAATTAGATAACGATTGATACATACTTGATTCAATACATTACGGTGCAGAAATTAAATTCTCCTTAATCAAATTGAAAGTATTCTTCTGTTCACTTTCCCACTTAAATTCAACACTTTTTTGCACAATTTCAGTCAACGAAACTACAATTGTGCTGAAATCCTTCATGAATCTCTAGTAGAAACTTGCTAAACCATGAAAACTCCACAACTTAGAAATATTCCATGTCAAGGGATTCATTACACATCCAAGGAGGTCCAATCACAAGAGTTGGACCTATAAAGATGCAAAAAGTTTTAAATAGCCTTATTGAGTAAATCTAGGTTGAAAACAACATGCAACAAGTAAATCGAAACTTGGATGATTATCAAGGCATGGTAAACATCATTCAAGTTCAAAAGAAGCTTAGTTAACGTCATTTGCACTAAATTACACAATTTGTGTCAAAATTGCACAATTCTATCGTAATTTGTAGTAAATTGATATTTCATATTATTTTAGGTTATTTTGAGTGATTTTCACGTTTTCTGTATTATCTTTGGGTTGAATATTCATTATTTGAAGCTTAATTCATGGTTATTAGGTTTAAGACTTAGGGTGTTAATTTCGTATTCAGATTAGGATTAATTTTCTCTATTTAAAGGGCTTGTAACCCTAATTGGGAGGCAGCTATTAAATCTAAGTTTTTTGAGAGACTTTTCTCTTTAGTTCATTTCAAAACTTTACAAAACTTATCTAGATTATTCTTGTGACATTCTAACCTAACTTACTATTCTCGTTCTTAAGCATTCAAGGGTGTGGCACAACCAACTTTATACCTCCGGTTCTTGTTGTGTCATAGATAATAGTGTTACAATGTAAACATGGGGTCAAGGTCCTATTATAAACCTGATTTAGCTTTCCTAGAGTTTCAAAATCCCTGGTCGTGCTATAGGTCTCATTGTTCCCTTTGGGGTTCTTATCATCTTGGTATCAAAGCATCAAGTTCTAAATCAAGTATGTGCATTTTTAATTTTCAATTCACATCAAAAACAAAAGAAAAAAATTTATATTTTAGTGTCATTCTAGTCTTTCTTGTCTGCTTTTTGAATCTAGGTTACTGGTTCTAAAATAAACGGAAGAAAAGAAGCACAAATTTTTTTTTTTTTTAAAAAAGAAGAAAATGCAAAAAGGGGGGGGGAGGAGAGAAATAGACAACACAGGATTATGGTTGAATTCCTTATATAGAGAAGAAATCTATGGCAAAATCCTTAAAAAAAAAAAAAAAAGGAATCCTACTACAATAAGGAGTTGGAAATGCTCTTTACATTCTATTCAAACAAGAAGTTAGCAATTTTGTTTATTCCTTCCTGAGTTAGGAACCTTATCACATTAAGGAATAGTCAAGTCAATTCCTACTAGGAAGTGTTAAAACTGATTTGTCTTTCTTGCGTTGTGTTTCAATCGAATTTCCTTTTTTTTTTTTTTGTTTTAATTCATTTGGGTTGATTCTTTTATTGCTTTTCTTATTCACCCTTTGTGTCTTTCCATTTCCTTTAACTCTTATTGCAAATTCGTTAGAGTTAGATTATTGCAAAATAACTTAAATTGAGCTTGTTTAGTTTAATAATGAACTGAGAGAGTAAAGTTGAGTGAGGGAAAAAGGCAATATGTGTGAGCAACACTTGAGAGAACAGGCAAGTTCTACAATGTGAAAAACACAAGCGTTGAGTGCCATTCCATGAGAGAGTGGAGTGAAACACATAAGGCAGTGTTGTGAGGTCCTTTTATTTTCTATTTCTAACATTCCTTGTAGGTTTCAATCATATCGAGCAGTAATGACAAGTCAACCTCTAGAAAACATCACGTGGATGAATCTTCCATGCTCAAAGCAATGCAACAACAATTTTAGAGGCTGGACATCATGTTTGCCGAGATTAGAGACAAAATGAAGAAGCAAGATGCAGCCATAGCCAAGTTATACCAAATACAAAATGGAAGTCCAAATTTGCATAGGAATGATGCTAATGATAATCTCGATGACGATTATGAAGATGCATTCAACAATGATGCCCAAAACTTAAATTTCAACATGGACAAATTTATGAGGGGTATAGGGAGTCAAAGAGGTAGGTTTAACCATGGAGAGCAAAATCTGGTAAGGTGGGGAGATTGGCAAAATCATGACTTAGGCAACATCAAGATGAAAATTCCTCCTTTTCAAGGCAAAAATGATCTAGATGTATATTTGGAATGGGAAAAAAAGGTGGAATTGTTATTTTATTGCCATAACTATTCTGAGGAGAAAGAGGTAAAACTAATAGCAGTGGAATTTATTGATTATGCTATGGTGTGGAGGGATCAACTTATGCTTAGTCAACATAGAAATCGAGAATGTTCTATTGACACTTGGGAAGAGATGAAAGTGGTGTTCAGAAAATAATTTGTTCCTAATCACGACTACCACGATCTCTATCAACTATTATAGGGCCTTACTCAAGGGTCTAAAAGCATTGAGGATTATCACAAGGAGATGGAACTCACAATGGTTATAGCAAATGTCGAAGAGGACAAAAAAGCAACTATTGCACGATTTTTGCATGGTTTAAGTTGTGATATAGCTAATGTGGTAGAGCTGCAACATTATGTGGAATTAGAAGATATGGTGCACATGGCAATGAAAGTAGAATGGTAACTCAAACGTAAAGGTGCCACCACCAGAACTAGGCAAAATTCAAGTTCCTCATCTTCTTAGAAACCAAATTGAAGTAAAAAGAAGGAATATTCTACTTTTAAGCATAAATTGCAGCATCTAAGTCAAAAGACATTGGTAGCAATGAGAAGAGTAAAACCGACAATATGCAAGGCAGAAACCAAGACATTAAGTGTTTTCGATGCTTAGGAAAAGGGCATGTTGTGTCGCAATGTCCTAATAAGCACACAATGGTCTTGAGAGAGGATGGAGAAATTAAAACTGAGGATGAATCTAATGATGACTCTATGCCACCATTAGAATATGCTAATTATGGTGTGGAATATGTTGTTGATGGAGAACTGCTTGTCACCAAGCATGCTTTGAATATGCAAGCCAAAGGAGATGATGAAACACAATGTGACCACATATTTCACACAAGGTGCCATATCAAAAATAAGGTATGTAGTGTGATTATTTATGATGGTATTTTTATTAATGTAGCTAGCACTATTTTGGTTAAAAAGCTTAATTTACCTATGATGAAGCACCCAAGGCCATATAAGCTACAATGGTTAAGTGATTGTAGAGAAATCAAGGTAAATAAACAAGTTCTAGTTTCATTCTCTATTGGATGATATAAGGATGAGGTATTTTGTCGCGTGGCTCCTATGCATGCTAGACATTTACTTTTGCAAAGACCATGGTAATATGATAGGAGAGCAACACATGATGGCTTCAAAATTGCTATTCATTCATCATGGCAGGGAAAACAATTACTCTTGCACCATTGAGGCCAAGGTAGTTTATGAGGATCAATTGAGAGTAAAAAAAAAAAAAAAAGAGTGAGCTAAGAAAAGAAAGTGAGCTTGAGGGTATAAAAAATAAAGAGAAAACTACAAAGAAAGATTCAAAAAAGAGAGAAAAGAGTGAGAGTGCCAAAAACAAAGAGAGAAAATAAGTGAGCTTTTACATAAAAACAAATGATGTCAAGGCTATGTTTCTTACAAAACAACCTATATTTGTACTTTCATACCAAGACGTGTATTTCAACATTAACGAGTTTAATGATTCTTCGCTTAGTGTTATTAAATCTCTTTTGCAGGACTTCAAGGATGTGTTTCCAGAGGACATTCCTAATGGTTTACCAGCAATAAAAGGAATCGAGCATCAAATTGACTTCATTCCAAGTGCAACAATTCCAAACCGACCAACATATCAAAGCAAGTTGAAGAACTCATGAAGGAGGGACATGTGAGGGAAAGCATGAGTCTGTGTGCAATTCCAATGCTACTTATGCCTAAGAAGGATAGGACTTGGCATATGTGCGTTGATTGTTGCCCAATCAACAAAATCACTATAAAGTACCATCACCCTATTCCTAGATTAGATGAAATGTTAGATGAACTCCATGGTTCTTGCATATTCTCTAAAATTGATTTAAAGAGTGGGTATCATCATATTAGGATGAAGGAAGGAGATGAATGGAAAACAACATTCAAAACGAAACATGGTTTATATGAGTGGTTAGTTATGCCATTTGGATTACTAATGCACCAAGTACATCCATGCAATTAGTGAATCATGTTTTGTGTGCTTTCATTGGCAAATTTGTGGTTGTTTATTTTGATGACATTTTGATATATGGTAAGAGTTTAACTTATCATATTGAGTATTTACGAATGGTACTAGAGGTTTTAAGAAAAGAAAAGTTGTTTGTTAACCTTAAAAAGTGTTCCTTTTGCACAAATCCAATTGTCTTTTTAGAGTATGTTGTTTCAGTTGATGGAATTGTAGTAGACGCCTCTTCTAATTTAAAGGTTGATATTTTACAACAATTTGATGAAATTTAGATGGCAAAACACTTTAGTATTATCTTTTCAAAGAGCAAAAATTAGGAACATAGACAAGGTAGGGTGAATTGGGACATATGGACGATTAGGTGTATTAGGCGAACTTTTGCAATCAAAAGACTAATTCCTATTCAAGTCATCTTATTAACCTACCCTCATATCGACCCAGTAAAATTCAAAAAAATTAATTTTCTTACCTTTAACTTCAATTTTTAAGTATTGACTCCAAATTTTGAATGTTGGACATAGTTGGAAAAGAAAAGACATTATGACTTTAAAATGTTAGGACATTTAATACTTGAATGTTGGACCTAGTCAGAAAAAAGAAGACATTATGATTTTAAAATGTTAAGACATTCAATTACAACTATATCCCACAAGTTTTAATGGCAAAATATCTTAAATTTTCATTTTTGTTATATTTTTATAGTTAAAAACTTATGCACAATTTGCTTTATAAAAATTGCACATTATATAGCCATTTTTTAAGAAAAAGTGCATATTAATTCTAACTCTCAAAAATAATTGGAGTCCCAACCTTAAATTACGTCATTTTATTTAATTAAAACTCAATTCAAAATTTTAAAAATTATCTTATTAAATGTTGATATATTAAAATATATAATGAGTTTCCAAATTTAGATATCAATAATTAATAAGATAAAATTTTAGTTTTTATATGTAAATAAAGATTCTAATTATTTTTAAAAATTAGAACTGACACACACTAACTTTTTTTATATATACATAAGAGATTAAATATTAAACCTTAAATCTAATTTAAAAGTATAAATAATTTTAGGGAAATAATTTTTGTACTCTTTTTGTCTCATCTTTTTATATAATTTTTTATTACATTTTTTTGTACAATCTTTTATTTCACTTTTTTGTATAATTTGACATATCATTTAAATAATTGATTATTTTAATTCATATAAAACCCATAATATTAAACATATCTACTTATTTAATAACATATAAAAATTATATAAAAATATAATATAAAAAGTTATCCATACAACACCACCTATAATTTTACTAAAAAATCACATAGTTGATAGCACACACTAGACAGCCATTAATAAATGACGGGTGTTTAAATGGGGACTGTCCCCCCGTAACAAAGTCCTTTATAAAATTTTTAACATGAGATGAATGTGAAGGCAGACTCGCTCCAAAGACATGGTGATTGGAATCCCACGCAGAGTCACTGGACTGCTTCTCAATTAAAATTGTTGACTTTCCCATTTTACCCGTTACTTGTTAACTTATTTACACTCGACACCATCTCTACTATTGTAAGAGATAAAACCAGCTAACAGAGTCCCAATCGCTCTCGATAACACTTCCCGGCAAATCGTCCTCTCCTTCCTTCGTTTCAGATCGGGTTCTCAGTTTCCGACGGGACTCCGCTTTCCGTGACTGTAAACTCTTTTTCGGTGAGTTCTACAAAAAGCACCCACTACAACTCAACTATTTTTTTTTTTTTAATATAGATACTCTTCTCTCTCTGTTTTTGTTTTCCTTTGTGAATTTTGCTTCAATTACATGAAGGATTTGTTTCGATATTAGTTGTTTATTGAAAATAGGAAACTCGATTTATGGGTGTTTAATCTTAATTTGTAAGCTCCCCAATTTTTTAGATTTGAGTTCCTTTTCTTTCTGTTTTCCACATTTTTTAATTAAGGATTTGATGACAGGTTTTAACACCCCAATCTGATATTTATCTACTTCCATCGATTCATCTGTTCTTGTTAATCTCGCAGTTCTTTAATTCTTTGATTTTTTTTTTTTTTTGCTTTACTTTTAATTTTGTTTAGTTGAAGTTAGTAAGGACATGATGATAGAGATCTTGATACCCAAGTCTCATTCGCTTTTGCAAATGATGAACAAGCAATTTAATATCGAAAATATGTCTGATTTTCCTGTTTGGGAGCTGACAATGCGGTTTTAGTGATTTTTTAGTTGTGGGATTTCTTGTTTGAGTATGATACTTTGTGTTGGATGAGATAATTACTATGTGGGTAAGTTGAGAGGTCTGCTTGCTCTAGTTTATTGAGGGTTGTTTTTAGTTTGTGGTGATGGTGGGTTGCAATGTTGCATTGTGTATAAAGTGGGTTGAGGTGATATGAGCTTAAAATGATTTCATAACTTAGAGTGTCCTTGTACTAAGGAAATGAATATACATTTATATTTTGTTGATGGATGCAACTTACATTAGTGGTTTCTGTTTTAATGGTTTTATGGAAAATTGCTGAGTTTTTAGTACTTCTGTGAGTGGTTCTCCCTTCTCATAAATTTGCATGAGGTCTTTCAATGTTGTAAGTTAAGGTATTGAATATGAGTGTGGCTTTTGTTGTAATATTGTGTTGCATCTATGTGGTGATGGAAATGCTTGGTTGTTTCCATTCACAATTATTCTGTCTTAATTGAGTTGCATTCTTTTTATGATTTGCTTTTAAAAGAATTGAACAGATCCTCAACGGTCAATTATTTGAGTCTTATATTGTGGCTTCTCTTGTGACTATCAGATTCCTTCTCAGAAAAAGCTGAATTGCTCGCACTATCCCATTTCTCGAATTCAAATGACGACTTGTCTTCCCATTTGCCATCCTTTGTCTTGCACCCCTCAGCGAAAACTCCAGGTAATTGTCAATTCTGTCTCTTCCATCCCCATCTTTCGTCCCACAAGAATTACCCATACAAAGTTTCTCAAAAGCCCCCCTTTTCCCTCTACCTTTCACCCATTTTCTCCCATCCTTCTGTCTCGCACTTCCCTCAGAGATGCCGATGACCCTTTGGTTGGCAAGGACTTGATTGGAGAGGACTCTGCTGCATTCAATTTAGGGAACCAGAACATTGTTTCTTGGATATATTTCAGTATCATTTTGGGGTTTGTTCTCTTTCTTCTTGATGTTGCTTGGATTGATGGCTCAACTGGCTTTGGCAAAGCTTACATCAATGCAGTTTCACAGTTTTCCGATAGCCATGAGGTCGGTTTCTGTTCCAGTTGTGAAAAGAATTTGTTATCTATTCGATGCTTTAACTTTGAGTGTTACATTGCCCTTTGGATTTAGCCTAATCTGTAGATTTTCCTAATTAATTTGCTTCTCTTGATCTGGTCAAAGTGGCTTCTGTGGGGATCCTTTGGGTCAGAAAGTGGAAAATGACTTAAAGGTCAATACTATAACAAGGGCATGCCAATAATGTAGCAAAGGAGAGGAGAACAAATCAAATGCTTTGCATAGCCCAACAGTTTCTTACAGAACTTATCCATAATTCAAATTGCAACTCTAATAACTGAAAATTTATTTGAACAGGCATATGGAACTTAATCCTGATTGGGCTAATATTTGTTAAATATTTAGACTTAGGAGTAAACCCAACCTTTATGAGCTAAGTACCATTGCACCATGTAAAATATTCTAGGCATTCACTAGACTAATAGAACAATTGCACCAACACAGGGGTCTCTTTCTAGCAAAATATAGAGTTTCTTAAACACTGTGAAACATTCTTAAACAACTATAACATGTCCTTGTTTTGATTTAATGACTTCAAGACACACCCACTTGGATGAGAAATCTTCTTTGTCATGGATCTGACTTTAGACCTTAATTCCTAGAATGGCTAATCTTTATGTACCATGTTATTGAGGCATTACCAATGCATTAAAACTCTATTAACAACTAGTGTAATGAAATTACCATGGACATTTCATTTGACTGGATGGTTCAATTTCTGTTTCTGAATTGTTAGTTAGCTATTGATATCTAAAGGCTTTAACCACATTAACTCCTTTCCTTGGTATATATGGAGAAATATCCAATATACCAATCTATTTTTTTGTGGATCCTCAATATATTTGAAAGTTGGACTTTAAGCATTTCTTCCTTGTGTTAGTTGTTAAGTTGTTAACTGACCATGATTTCACTTGTGTTGAAGCTGTTCACAACTTAACATGCGTCATTGTTTGAGCCTAAAAAGCATTCCTTTTGCAGATTGTAATGCTTATCCTCATTCTCATATTTGCCACTGTCCACAGTGGCTTGGCTAGTCTTCGAGACACGGGTGAAAAACTAATTGGAAAACGTGCATATCGTGTTTTGTTTGCTGCTGTGTCCCTTCCATTGTCTCTTAGCACTATTGTAAGTGCCCAATGTTGTTTATAAGGGCATTAATCCTTTAAACATAAGCTCCATTTATTCTTTCTAACTTTATTTTACAGTTTTTTTGCTTTGAAAAATATGTTGGAGGCTTTCTTCACAACTAGCTGATATTGCTAGTGCTTGCAATCCAGGTGTACTTCATCAACCACAGATATGATGGGCTGCAGCTATGGCAGCTTCAGAGCACTCCTGGAGTTCATCAATTTGTGTGGCTTGCAAATTTTATTTCCTTCCTTTTCCTATATCCTTCTACATTTAACCTATTAGAGGTAGCAGCAGTTGACAAGCCTAAACTGCATCTTTGGGAAACTGGGATCATGAGAATTACCAGGCATCCACAGGTTATTACCCCTATAATCTTGATTTTGATGTCCATTTTCATTTGTGGGTAGTTATTTTTGGCAAGCAATGAGTGGTTAGAAGAAACTTAGGTAGTGGTGCCTGGTAGTCATGGCAATTGCCCCATCTCTTATAAGGAGTTGCATAAGCCATTGCTGTTGCTTTCTGCCCAAACAATAACATCTTATTTAGTTGTTTTGTTGTTTCTTTCAGATGGTTGGACAGGTGATCTGGTGCTTGGCACATACACTCTGGATTGGGAACACTGTGGCTGTTTCAGCCTCAATTGGTTTGATCGGACATCATCTATTTGGTGTGTGGAATGGTGATAGGAGACTAGCTAAGCAACATGGGGATGCATTTGAAGAATTAAAGAGGCGAACAAGCGTCATTCCATTTGCAGCTATTCTTGATGGCCGTCAAATTTTGCCTCAAGATTATTACAAGGAATTTATTCGATTGCCCTACTTGACTATCACTGCATTGACCCTTGGTGCATATTTCATGCATCCACTTATGCAGGTGGGTAGTTTTGAGCTTCATTGGTAGCGGAAGGTCTGTGATGGATTTGTTAAGATTTCAAGATTGTATATACCACGCCCTTATAGAATGCATGCCTAAAAAATGTAGGATGGGATAAATTCATTTTAGCTAATGGAGATTCATATGGGTGCATCTAATCAATCATGTAGCCTAATGAATAATATGCATATCCCTTGGGCTTCAAGGTTGCGTTTGCATAAAATGACATTAGGATGGAAATATACAATGGAGGAGATTGGGTTTGGACATGCCTTTGGGAGGAAAAAGTTTCCTAATTGATTTAATGCTAAACTCTCTCCTATAGCTGATGGTGAGAAGATTAATAATAATGCCTACAAGATCAAGCTGCTAGGTGAATATGTAGTCTACTACTTTTGATATTGCGTACTTATCTCCTTACCATGAAGAACATGGGAATAGACCTTAAATAACTTGAGGACAAGTTTCCTTCACTTAGTGGTGAATGCAAAATCTACATATGCCTACAGCACAGGTAGATGGAAAATATCAATAGAAATTTTATAATTATAACGTCACATGGTATTGTAAATTTATATCACATCACTTATGCCACTATTAATTGTTGTGAACTTGTCTTTCTTCTTTAGATACCAGCTTATTCTAATCAGCTTGTTCCTTCTTCTTTGGCCTTGTTTTGTCTGTAACGGTGGCCCAGAGTTTGTATGTACCGTCAATCCAAATGGCACTCAACTCCTAATTCTTCCACTTTTTTTTACTTCTGAGTATCTTACAAAGCAAAATTATGAATACATCAATTATTCTGCCGTTTTGGATCAACACATTTTGCTTTGGGAATTTGTACAACAGATAGGAAGTAGCTTGCTTCACTGTGTCGTTTTTTATCATACATAAGACACCAATCTGATCTCATCTCTAGGATTTCACTCTCTCACCATTATTTTTCTAAATGGCATCCATTTACGACTGAGTGGATAACTTCACAATCAAACTTCATTAATATTTTTTCCTGTGGCTTTGACACTGATAAACATAGTACTTCAAGACAATGAGAGCGTCTGTCACCCTTTCCTAATAAGTTTACAAACAAAAATATAAAATCAACCCTATTGATGATGAAAACGGAAATTAAGAAACATCCAAAAACGACAAACTACAAACAGAAACAATCCATGCTAAGCAAAAACTTAGCTAGTTAAGAATCCTAGCACATCTCCTCTGCACAAGACCCATCGACAATATTCCCAGCGTTTGGATCAGCCTTAGGTTTTCTTGGCCTGTACCACACTGCACAAATAAGATATATCACAAAATTGATGATCCCCAACATAGCTAGAAGTCCATAGAAACAGTCAAGCCTTCCATGGTTTATGTTGTCTGCCAGCCACCCTTGGCCGTCCTCGCCTTCAGTCACCTTCTTCACCACCGCTACCAAGAAACTGCTGACAAAGAAACCTAAAGACACAGTGGTGAGGAAGAGGCCAGTGCTCATGATTTTCATTCCTATGGGAGACTGAGTGATGAAAAAATCGAGCTGGCCTGTGTATATGAATGCCTCGCCAGACCCAACCAAGAAGAACTGTGGAATCAGCCAGAAAACGGATATGGGTAAGGTTGGTGTGGAGGACGTTCTTGCTACTGATAACCTTTTCCTCTCAGTCAGTGCTGCCGCTGCCATTCCGAAAACTGAGAGGATTAAACCTATGGCCATCCTCTGTAGATTGGTGAAACCTATTCCAAAGTTTGAGTGTCATAATTCAGTTTTGGTATTTGGAGTCCGTAATGCTATATGTAAATAAATGTATGCATACCAATTTATGCTTGGCCCTAAATAAAAAGAATTAATCACAAAACATCATGTTATATTGCACAAAATACAGTATGTATAGCATTTTCGATTTGGAGTAGAACTAATGCAAACATTATGATGTTTATACCTGGTTTTCCTTTCCATTTCTTCCAGAGGGGCATAATGACCCGGTCATAGACTGCCAGAGTGATCATTATTGCCACTATGAAGAAGACGGTGAGAGAGCCAGCGGGAATTTGGAAGTTCCCAATTGATCTTTCCATGGTGGAAGCTTGCTCAACGGAGAAAGTTATCATCTGTGCATAGGTTGTCCAAAATATGATCGTGGTGGCCCATATCGGCAGCAGTCGGATCATCATTTTCACTTCCTCCACTCTAGTAACCGAGCATAGTTTCCAATGGTGGGAGAGGAACCGGTAGTTCCATCAAAATCTCCTTCCGCAACAATGGCAGCCTTGTCCAAGAAACTTAAAAAAAGAAAAAAAAAGAGGTTAATTTGGGACTCAGTATTAAACAATGGATAAGATAACAACAATTATTAATCAATGAATATTAATTATTAACTATCAGCTATTTCTAACAGTTAAAACAAACAGGGCCTAAAGATGTAAGAAGCTCACCGGAGTTGATCTGTGTGTTGAATTCTTGAAGCTTCAGGACAATCCACATACAATAGGTCAGCATTAAAAGGGAGACCTATATTCCTCTTCCTTATAGCAGCGACAATAACCTGGAAAATATGAACAATGGGGCTTCCCATGCTTTTCTTGTATCTGTATCTTTTGTTACTGGAAAAAAATATCAGTATGGCCAAAAACATGGACACAGAGCAAATCCCATATGCCCAGCTTCGACCTACTTCATCTTGTATATAGACTAGCACGGTGACTGCCGTTAGGGCCCCCATGCTAATGAATAAGAAGAACCTGTTGAAGAAATAGGCCATCTGGGATTTCTCCTTCTCGTCTTTCTCATCAAATTGATCACTTCCAAATTCAGAGACACTCGATTTTAGGCCTCCAGTGCCTAGTGCAATCAAATATAGAGCCACGTACAGAATTCCCATCTGAAATCCATTGGCTTGCTTGCATGCATGGTTCATTGTGGGATGGCATGGTGGTGGTCGCAACTGTGGCAGTTTTGCAGCTAATGACAATGTTCCCGTGCCCTAAATGATCATATCATTTCTTTTGTTAGTATACATGATAAAGATTATAGTATAAAACATGAGATAACCCGTCATTAAAATTTAGAAGTCTCTGGTTCGGTTAGATCGTGGGTTGTGTAAAAAAAGCAAAAGAAACTTACCAGTGCTTGAATGGTGGCAAAAATTGCAATAGTTTTGTATCTTCCCAAGAAAGAATCAGCAAGAAAGCCTCCTAGCAAGCAGAGAAGAAAAGATGTCCCCAGAAAATCTGTGACAATATTGGCTGATGTTGCAATAGGGAGATGCATTGTGCCAACTAAGTATGTCACAAGGTTAACTGCAATTCCCATGGTTGAAAGCGTTTCACATAATTCAATTCCTGTGAAATTAATTATTTCCAAGAAATTATTAGTTTTAAAATGTTTTATTTTTTCATCTTTTATTTATATCATTCCTACCAAACCCAGCCTTAATTAAAAAGAAGAAACCCTAACTTTTTCTATTTTTGTATGGCTCGAAAGTTGGCAGAAAGTGAAGATGATTATGTTGTGAAAAGGGAAGTTAATATTGTTTGAAACATATGGTGGTAGAAAGCAGGTACCTATAGAACATTTTTCTTATCCCTTTCATAATTCAGAACTGATCACATGGTTGGATGGCCCAATAGAACATTTTTCTTATCCCTTCCATCATCAAACAGGAAATGACGTGAACATTATCATGAATTGGAAGTGTGCCACTATAGAACTTTGATGGGTCCCTTTCAACTGCTCTCATACTTCACCCAGAAATAAAAATAAATCTATGCGTCAATAAAATTAATGAATAATTAAGAAATACTTGTCCTTAAGATGCTAATTATAACCAATTAAGTTGGTAAAATCTTTTTTATTTGTATTTCGAACAACAATTTGGTTAGATATTTTGATGAATGCATGAAGTATTTGGTTGTTCCTCTGTTTGGTACGAGTAGGGGGATTAATTGTGATTATTATATATTGCACTGCAAAATTACTTATCCATATATAGTCATGTTATATATGGACAATTTATTAGTAAATGTCATTTACTAATGCAATATTGGAAACGGGGGGGTTTAAAGAAGTTTGAAGAAATGCAACAAAGACAAACCTAGAATAAGAGCAGCAGGAAGCCAACCACTAGTTTTAGCTCTGTTAGCTAGGCAACCCTTGTGGTTGACTGCATCAGAAACTGTCCAACCCTTCTTGATATCCTGTAAGTAAATATATGGATGAGAATTTTGTTGAAAATAGTACTTAATAATGTTCATAACACAACAAGGAAGGAAACAATTTAAGAGAGAGTCTCATGCACCAGTACTTGCCATTATGCAACTTTCAGCAGGGAAAAGAGCATAAATGCTGAAAAAGAAAGGTAGAAGAGACGAAGATATAAGCTTATGCTTTTGTCTTCTACGCTTCAACTCACAACTTACTTATGTGCCTTTGGAGCTTCCCACCCCCTTTTATAGCCAAATTCTCTAACAAATGTTGGAACTAAAAGTGACCCTCCACTAAGCAATGAGACAGATCACTGCTCTCTTTGTGGTTTTTGATAAAGGTAGGGACTAGGTTTATCCCACATTGAGTGGAAGATTCTAGCACTGAACCAAGCGTTGTATTTTTCTTTAAATTTAGGTAGATATTTTTTAGAGAAATACAGG